GTAGCAGTGAGCAAAACGGCCCTCATGGAGTTTATGTTCGTGTGTGTGTGTGTGTGTGTGTGTGTGTGTGTGTGTGTGTGTGTATGTGTGTGTACGAGAGTGAGGAAAAAATAATCACCAGTTCTAATGTGCCTGGTACTTGTAAATGCCATCAAGGAGATGAGAGGCAGGCAAGATGCTAGGAAGGATGTGGAGCTAAGGGTGTTCCCTGAGGAACAGGTCTCATCTCAGCAGACCCCTGAGTGGCATGAGGGAAGGAAGATGAGGCTGACTGAGAAGAGTGCTCTCCTCTTCTGCCTTGCAAAATATCTATGATCCTTCTTCTCGTTTTCTAGTAGAGGCTGAAGCTCAGAGAGGTTAAATAACTTATCCAAGTACACACAGCAAGTGAGTGATGGAACTGGAGCTCAAACCCAAGCGTTTCTGGTTCTGACTTGTACTTCCTTTATTGCTGCTTCCTGATTGGAGGTGGCTAGTGATGCACCCTGTTGACACAAGGCAGCAGTCAGTCACCTGCCCCCTCCTAGAGAGGGACATGCCTTAAAGATACCAATCCCGAGGCAGCCTCCCTAGTTGGGTCCTTGCTAAGAGAAGAGCCGGCCAGACCCAGCAAAATGGCTGGAGCAGGTCACGTTCAGCACAGTGGAGCCCAAGAACAATGCCCTGTCCACTCCCTCTGCAGCCTGCTGCTCCTCCCTCCCAGGCAGCAAATTATGGCCTCGGAATGTGTGCCTAGGCCTGCCTTTGACATCAGCGGGGCCCACCTGAGCTTCACCTTCAGGATTCTGATAATCAGCTCTCTCTCCTCCTGGCTTCCCCCAAGACCCGTATGGAAATAAGTATGTGTCTGCCAGGGATCAAATGCTTTTGGAGACAAAAGTCGGTGGCGAGGACATTACAGGGAGCTATCATCTCGGCACGATGCTCTTCCACAAAGCCCTCTGCTCCTCTTTCGGGCTGACACAGTTTCAGCCTGAAAGGTTCCAGCCGGCTGACTTGGTTTTAAGCAAAAGCACATCCTATTATTTTTTTGAGAAATGAAGTGTAAAATTAACACTTATTATTCCTGAGCAGGAGAGAGAGAGAGAGAGAGAGGGGCGAGAGACAGAGACACTCTGGGATCTTCCTGCTTGCTGGGTTGGCTGTTGAGCAGTTTGGGATTTTTATTTATTTATTTATTTTTAATTTATAATAAATCTAGTCGATTTCCCCCGTGCCAGCCTCGACTTCCGGGGACCAGGCGGCGAGGTTTGAATGTCAGCAGGCGAAATCTGCATTGCACTTTACAAATGAGCGGGGCTGCAGCGGGCACTGGAGTTGCGTGGGTCTCTCTTATGGATGCCTGTCATGTGCTATTAAAAAGAAAGAAAGAAAAAAGAAAAGAGGGAAGCGAACGTGGGTCTTAACTCACAAAATCCCGCAGCCCCCAAGCCGGCGCCCAGGACCTGGGAGCCCCCAGACAGCTTTGTCACCCTGCTGCCAGGTGTCCTCGGAGCGCCCGCGAGTTTATATAATTCAGGGAAGTGACTCTCCTCCCAGGGTGCCGCGCCCTGGGACGCCTGGAGAGGTTGTCAGCGCAGGCGGGGAGGTGGCGGGTCCTCTCCATATCCGCGGGTTGGCTCGTACTGGGTCACGGGCGCTGGAGGAGTGTTTGTCACACTAACTAGGGCAGCCCCTCTCCGCCTCCCCGCCCTCCCCCCAATTTCCTGGATGGCTTTCTAGGCGGAGGTGCACCATAATGGACACCCGAGGGAGTCCCCGCGTCCCCCCGCGGTGGGGAGAAGGCCTCCGCTTCAGGGAGATTTGCAGATTACGAGGTCTCGCCTGGGTGGGAGAGGTTCCCAGATCCGCGGGAACCCCTCAGGCTTCCTCCTTGTCCCCCGACTTTCACTTTGCGCGCATTTTATCGCTCCTCCCCCTCCCCCAGGTCTGACTCTCTGAAGCACCTGGGGGAGAGCGGGGAAGGGGTCCCGAGGCGCTCGGTCGTCTGCTGGGCTCTTGATCTAATTAGCCCGGAACCTCACTCTGACACCGGCTCGGGGCTGTGGTTTGCGTAAACGCAGCCGCTGCTCCGGCCCGGCCCTGCGCGCGCTCCGGGGCCGCCTGACTGTGCACATATTTATGAACGTGGGCGCGGGGCGGAGCTGCCTTTATGAATCAGAGGGGATCGGCTGATGAATTGCTCGGCACTTGGCGAACGGAAAGTGACTGTCAGACATGATTTCTCTGATTTATAAGTTGCAGGAGCCTTCTTTGTCCTCCCGGTGTTTGTATATCAGACGGGCAGGTCTCCATCCCCAGCCAAGCGGTTAAAGGGCCCCGCTCAGCAGAGAGCGGTAAATCCTCGGCTGCCGGCTGGGCCCTGGAGCCAGCCTGGGCCGGGCAGAGAGGCCTGGCCCCGCACCTCTCCACCCGGCTTTTTCCCCAGCACCTCCTGCAGGCGGGGCCTGATGCTTGGGGAGCCACAGGAGCATAGAACTTCGTCCTTGCCCTCAGTCTAGCTGCCCAGGGTCAGGACATGGTGAAATGACTCAGGATCACTGTGCCCATCCAGGGACAGTGGTGCACAGCAGTCAGGGAAGGCAGCCTGAAGGTGGTGTGAGGGGCGGAGGGGGGGGTATACACGCATCTGAGCATGGTTTTGTGTCCTGTTCCGAGCACCACTTACTGTCTTACCTTAGCAAGTGGGTCTCCTTCTCTGAACCCATTATATCTTCCTAGAAATCCCATTTCCTAGCAATCGGGGTCATTTCTTGCTTTCTTTGCTTTTTAAAAAAATTTTTTTATGTTTAGTTTTTCAGTTGTAGTTGGACACCTTTTGTTTTATTTATTTATTTATTTATATGGTGCTGAGGATCGAACCCAGGGCCTCCCGCGTGCTAGGCAACCCTGAGCCACATCCCCAGCCTGCAAACGGGGTCATTTCTAAGGTTCAAATACGTCATAAACCGTCAAGGCCAGGTTGTCATTTCCAGACGCCCCCTGTCTCACGAATGTCCAAGAGTTGTCGACCTTCTAATGGGAAGGCCACCCTGAGGTGGCACCTCCCTTGCTCACGCACTCCCTGAACCGCTTCTCCGAGCCCACCTCTGAGAAGGGCAGGGGATGCGCTGGGGGATCTTTGGAGGCCTCTCCCCCACACTGGAGGCCATCTCTAATTATGCTGGGCATCTCTCCACGGGCGAGGAGGACGTGCACCAGGCCTGTGTGTAGGCGTGCTGAGCCCGCCTCCGTGTCCCAAAACTTGTCAATGAAATCCTTTTCTGCTCGTCTGAGTGGAAGGTCTGTTTGTGTCTCTGCCGGCGCGTGTGGCCTAGTTGCGTGGCTCGGGGGGCACGGCCAACACCCAGCAGATTCCAGCCAGCGGGCTCCGGGCACAGCCCACCTGCGCGCCTGGGTCTGCGCACCTCTGCGGTGGGGCGCGGGGGCGGGGGAGGCTGGGCCGGGAGATGCCTGCTATCCCTGCCAGCCTCTGCCAGGGCCTGGGGACCCAGGGACTCACCAGGAGCCTCAGCCCATCTGTGTTTGTGTCTTGCCACTGGCAGAGCCCCTCTGCTCTCTCGTTCTTGCCTTGGAGGGCAAATCCGAGCGCCTGGCACCTTTGGTGAGACTGGTTCCCTGGGGCAGTCAGGAGAGGGCTCTGTCCTTGGCCGTCCCAGATAACACTTTCTGCCAATACTGACGCGCCCAGCAATCCACGTTGATTGAGTGCTTGCTGTGTGCTGGGGGCTGCTTTACATGTGTTAACGCATTTAATTTTCAAATCAACTGTAAGAGCAAGGCTGCTGCGGAGTGTGTCTGCAAAAGGAAACGGAGGCACAGAGAGGTGATGTAACTTGACCAAGATCACCCAGTACGTGACTGAACCCATTCCTATCATGGCTGATGCAGTGTTCAAGCAGGAACTTCCCTTCACCTGCTGCTGACCACGGGGCCACGCCTGGTGTCCCTCCATCCCCTCGCAGCTGTGAGTCGAGGACTCGGGTGTCCTCATTACACTGAGCATTCATTAATGCCTAGGGCATGCCGCAGGGAGGAAGAAAAGCCAGGATTTGAACTCATCTCTGTTTGGTTCTGGGTAGAGGGGTCGGGCCTGGGCTCTGGGCCTCTGTAATGTTGGCACGATGCTGGGGCTCGGCATACTCGCTTCTCTGGGCACCTGTGAGGGAAGGTGTGGGGTCGCAGAAGTTCCCAGGAGGGGAGATGGAGCCGAGTTCTGGTTTGAAAGCAGGATGGGGACTTTGCCCAGCCTCCACGATCCACTGGGTAGGCCATCTGTTTCCAAAAGGAGAGAGCGAGCAAGAGCGAGCGAGCGAGAGCGCATTCTGCTTGTTGCGACATCTTCCAGTGGCTGCCTGTCACTCACCCTGGCATCTCCGGAGGCTGCCAAGGCCCTTCGCTATGTGCACCTCGGGCCTCACCCACCGGCCCTCCCTGGGCCTTGAACTCCAGGCACAGCAGTCCTCTTGCTCCTCCCCAGCAGGCCCCACCCCTCTGTCAGAGTGCACCCCAGTTGCTCCCGTCACCCTGTCGACGATGCTCTATTGTCGGCTGTTCACCCCCCACCAGAATGGGGGCAGAGACGGTATCTCGTTAGTTCCTCAAAGCCTCCCCAGCAAAGCTCCTGGCACGTAGGACACACTCAATGCACAGCTGATTGTGTTTTTAAAATCCTGGTTGGACTCCTTTCTCCTTCCAAGACCCCTTTCCAAAGTGACTCGGTCTCAGAACTCAAGCTGTTGGACATGGCCTGCAACTAGCCGAGGAAATCATGGCCAAGGTCACCTTCAAGAGCCAGATATTTGGACCCAGCTCCCTGGAGTGTGCAGGCCTCTGGGGGCTGGGCCGTCAGAGCCAGGATGGATCTGGGGTCTGTGGCCCTCCCAGCAGGCCTGGTGCTGGGGTGGAGAGGGGCCGGCGCCGGGGGCTCAGGAGCCTTGTGGGCTCCCGCGGGGGCTGTGGCCTGCAGCGGTGCTGACAGCTGTGGCTTCTCCTTGCAGAGGAAGGCATCAACCACGAGTGTAAGCTGTGCAACCAGATGTTCGACTCCCCGGCCAAGCTCCTGTGTCACCTCATCGAGCACAGCTTCGAGGGCATGGGTGGCACCTTCAAATGCCCCGTGTGCTTCACAGGTAAGGTGCCATGTGTGCGCGGCAGGGAAGCCGGTGGGGACGGGGATCCCAGCCGGGGCTGTCTGTCCCCTTTGCAGCAGGCACCAGAGGGGGGTCCCCCAGAGCCCCTGGCCCTCCCGCTCTGCCTCCTTCCTGCAGAGCTGACCCGCCACCCTCCACTCAGGCCCTCTGGCCTCTCCTCCAGGGGACCAGGGGACGCTGCTGGGACAACCTGGTCCACCTGCCCACTGGCGCCGCCTGCCCTTCCTGGCCCCCTACTCCTCTCCCAGAGCCTCCGGCTCATCATCCAGCACCCGGGGCCTCCCCCTCGCACCCCCTGGCTCCCTGGCCCCGGCCCATGCTTTATCCATGCTCCAGGCTGGAGGGGTCAAGGGCAGCTCTGCTGGCCTAGTCCCCAGCCCCCAGCCTGGCCGCCCGCCCGGGTGAGCGGCTGTCCCAGCCCGAGGCGAGGCGAGTCTCAGGGGCTCTGCCGGCCCCCTGCTGGAGCCCAGATGGCAGCCGGTGTGCAAGGGGAGCCTGGCCTTCCCCTGCCTCCCCCGACATCTGCCGTCTGCCACCACGGGAAGCCCACCCTGGGGAGGGCGCCTGGCGGGAGGGTGTCTCTGAAGCGCTCACCTCCCAGACGCACAGCTGCTTCAGGGCCGGGCCTCCTCGGGACGTATGCCACCAGGAAGCCAGGGCTGTGACCCGCTCCGTGACAGGCCTGGGGAGGGGGCTGTGCACCTCTGGGGCACCCGGGTGCCCTCTCTCCTCCTGCTTGGAGGATGCCACAGCAACTTCGGCCATAAAAACAGTCCCTCGTGTTGGGCAGCAGCTTCTTGTGCCAGACCCTGTGCTAAGCTTGTTTAATTATCTCAGCTCTGTCACCTGCTAGCAGTGGGACTTTGGACAAGTATTTAGTATTCCTGGTGCCTCAGTTTTCTTGTCCATTAAATGGGGATAAGAACAGTGCCTGCTTTAAAGTCTGTGAGGTCTTCGAAGAGCTCACACATGGAAGAAGTCTGGCCACTGGAGACAGGGGCACATCTATTGGCCTCACTATGTGCTTGCTCATCTTTGAAGTGCTTTATGAATATTCATGTGATCCTCCCAGCCACCCAGGGAGGTACATACAATAATCATAATGAGCTCCATTTTTGAATGAGGACATGAAGCCCAGAGAGGTTAAGTGACTTGCCCAAGGTTGCACAGTTTCCAAGTGGCAGAGCTCAGCTTATCTAGCTCGAAGTCCTCTGGGAGGTGCCGGTCATATTTCCTGTGGCACTGTCTGGCCAACGGTGTCCGTACCTGGGTGATCCGTACCTGTGCGTGGTGTGGGGCAGCTGCCGGGGTGGCTGGGCGGGTGTCCTGAGTGCGGCCTCTGATGGCCACTTCCGGGTGCAGTCTTTGTCCAGGCCAACAAGTTGCAGCAGCACATCTTTGCCGTGCACGGGCAGGAGGACAAGATCTACGACTGCTCGCAGTGCCCGCAGAAGTTCTTCTTCCAGACGGAGCTGCAGGTGAGCGCCGCCCCGCGGCACCCGCCCCTCCTGGGGTCTGCCCGCGGGCACACAGTGTCTTGGGTTCAGCCAAGAGGTTGGGGGCTTGTGCTTGGGGCCACCCCGACTGTGAGAGCAGCAGGCGGCTGGGGGTGTGACCCTGCTCTGCCGGCCCCCCTCCTCAGGCAGCCTGACCCCACAGCAGGCCCAACCCGCAGCAGGAGTCCCACGGTCATGCTGCTCCTGTGACAAGTCCCCTCCACTCTGGGGGTTCCATTTCCCCACTTTGTTGCATGATGCTATTTGACTGGCTTTGGCTCTGGGGCTGGTGGCCCGTGTGGGTGGGGTCGGGAGTTTGGGGGCCCCCACCTCCACCCAGGAAAGTCGGCACGCCCGGTTGGCACCAGCTCAGAGAAGAGGCCTCCGCTGCACGTCCTGAGGCTCTGTGGCCCTCAGATGGGGCGCGGTGGCCATGACCCGTTCCTCAGACCCCCACATAGAATCTGCAGTAGCCGAGGGGACCCTGGGAGGGTCCTCAGCAGGCACCTGCAGCCCCCTCCTTGTGTCCTGTGGGTCCTTCTCGCCTGTTACTGGTTTTCTGAGGACTGAGATCTGAGCCCAGGGAAAACCACTTTCTCTGTTGGTTTTTGCAAGAAACTGAGCCCCTGGACGAGGTCACGTGTGCACCAGGAACACGGCACACGCACACAGCACGGCACACAGGGGACAGTCCCCACGCTCACGCCCTCCCCCACACAAATGTCTTCGCCCTACAGCAACACCACAGGGGGACGCTGCAGCCCCCGAAGTCCACGCTGCCACCGGGGAACGTGTGGGTGGACACGGAAGTGGGGCGCAGTCCCTTGCGGCCAGCGCAGGGCAGGACAGGCCGCAGCGGCTTCCTCTGGATCTCTGGGGCTACGACAGTGGCTTATTGGTCGCTCGTGTGACGTGAGGGGCAGGTGGCACTCATTCCATGACGTGGACTCACGGAGGGTCCCTGCCCGTTCACGTTTCCATGGTCACCGAGGCCAGGAGGAGAGTGAGGTGGGGACAGCAGAGCCAGCTCTCCAGGCTTCCGAGGGAAGTGACGCACGTCCCCTCCTCGCGTCCCCTCCTCCCAGCCGTGGCCACTCCAAGGGGCCCCCTGCCTGGACGGGGAGGGGGCACTGGCATTGGTCAACAGCCCTAGGGACTCCCACACACCATGGCCCACAGGATGTCACGTAGCAAACACCCCCCAGCCCCCAGGAATGTGTGTCAGACCTGATGACCCTCTGTGGTCACCATAATTTGGGGGGCAACAGTGGTGGCCACTCTGGGGTGGGAGCAGGGCAGCCGTGGCCTCTCTGATCCACCAGAGCCCACCTACGCGGCCAGGCCCTGCTTGGCTGGTGCAGTGTCACCTGGGGGACTGGGAACAGGCCCGCAAAGCGCCCAGAGCCGGTCACCACCTACGGTCGGCCAGGTCTCCACAGGAGCCTCGTGCCAGGGCTGGGTTCAGCCTTCAGCTCTGACCTGGAAAAGCCCCAGGCATTTTTTGCTGGAAAGTTCACTTCTTATCATCCTTTGGGCAGTCCTTGGAGCTCCTGTTCTCGTATGGATTGTGTGACCTTCATTCTGTTGTCACGTTATGGGACAGGATTAGGGACCCAGTTACGCAAACCCGGGCCCCGCTGCTGTGTTCCCCTCGGATCCACGCAGTGGGTTTTTTTCTCTGGGCTGAGGACACAGGAGGGACCGTGGGGCCTAGGGCCAGCTCCTGGTCTGCATCCTCCCCTCCAGGAAGCCTCTGGCCTCCCGCGCTGGCCACTCCCGTCCTCCCCGCCTGCCCCACAGTGTGGTCCCACTACCAGGACAGGCCTCCTAAACCCCATCAGGGCCTCTCAGCTACGAGTCACTTACACCTGGACTTGGTCCTCCTCCATCGTCCCAGGCACCAACCGAGGGACGACTGAGCTCCTCTTGGTTGGCTTTAAGGTGTCCCCCTGCCGTTCCGGAGCCTCGGCATGGTGGTGGCGGAGTGGGATGTGGTGAAGCTGCAGGGCACAGACTCCATCCCCCCCGGGCTCCGCCTGCCTGGGCTGGGGACCAGCCTGACCCAGGAGCGGTTCCTGTGAGCTGGTGATTTCCTGGGTCACCCTGTTCACTTGTAAGTGAGACACTCAAATGCCGAGAACCTGACTCAATTGCAGCCTTAACGAGTCACTATTTGTGCAATTAATGATTTTAATTACAGACCATTTAAATGGGGGAATGTTGTAGCAACGCCAAATCTATGCAAATAATGGCTCTCGTTAAGTAACTTGAATGGCAATTTTCTGGGTTTGGGAGGAGGGTTTTCCTCTGCGGTTTCACTGTCATTGCACTGAGGCTGGGGCTGCAAGGAGAGGGTGAGTGGGAGGGTCTGGATGGGGCCGCAGGAGAAAAGACCCAGCCGGAGCTCCTGTCTTGCTAGGGCCTCACCTGGCACCTTTGGCTGTATGTCACTGGAGGTCATGTAGGGAGACCCTGGGAAGCCAGTGTTGGTGAGCACAAGGGACTGTGGCCAGAGGTCTTAAGGAGATGCACAGCTTAGGACGGAGCTCACCAAAGGGCCAGAAAGAGCTGCTGTGGGGTAAGAGTATCAGAGGCGCGATTGACCCCCAGCTGGCTTGTCCTGTCCGACTCTAGACTTTCCTAGGATGCATTCACAGGAGCACGGTGGCCAGGATGAGGGAGGTGCCAGCCTTGTTGGATTCTGAGTTCAGCTTGTTCTGCCTAAAAGACTGAGATTAAGTCAAAGACTTTGACGAACTGGGAATGGTTTTAGCAAAGTGATTAGGAACACGAGAGGGAGTCATGTTTTGGTGCTCATTTTCTTAAAGCATGTATGTGGAGGGCCCACTGTGCCCAGCACTAGGTCTAAAACTGAGAAGACAGTGGCGAAAGAGACATCACGGGCCTGTGTTCTACAGGGGTTGAGAGACACTTTGCAGTAATGATCAATGACGGGAAGAAAATGGGTCCCAGCATGTCAGGAGGGGGCTAGTCACTCCTTGGTGAGTATGGTCAGGGAGAGCCACTCTGAGGAGGTGGTACTGGACCTGAGACTCGAATGTGAACAGACAGGCAGTGTGGAGGAGGGCCATCAGTGCAAAGGCCCTGTGGCTAGCATGGGGCAGAGTGCCGCTAAAGCACAGCAGTGGGGAGAGGCAGATGGAACCTAGGTCATGGGAAGAAGTGTACGGCATTGAAGGAATTGGTTTTTTTATCCTCATTGTGATAAGAAACCAAGCAGGGGACAACCACAGGACAGCATTGTTTGTGGGTTTCTTATAACGTTAAACATGCACTTACTGTGTGAGCCAGTGGTCCATTCCCAGGTGTTTGCTCCTCAGAAAGGAAAGGGTGGGACCACCCATGCCTCTAGGTGAGCAGAGACAGCAGCTTGATGTGTCATGGCCCTGCACAGAAGCCACCTGGTTGTCCTCGCCTGGTGAATGGGTAACAGACGTGTGGATATGGTCCGTTCCTACAACAGGCGACTGCTTGTCAGTGCAAAGCATCTGTGAATACGTGTAGTGACGTGGACACATTTTAAATGCCAAGTGGAAGGAGCCAGATTCAAAAGGCTCCGTGCTGTAAGTTCTCTTGGCTTGACATTCTAGGAAAAAAGAGAAATCTATCAGAACAGAGGGGTAGTTGTCAGGGCCACAGGTGGGGGATGACGGGGCAGACTGAGCAAGGTTTGTGTGAGCGCCCCGTCCCCACTCCTGCCCCTGCACGGAGGCCACATCCTAGGGACTGGCCCCCGGTCAGCCTGTGCGGATTGCCGGGCCTCAGGACCTCCCAGGAGACTGTCCCGGGTGGATCTGGGGAGGAGGATGGTGCATTGTGGGAGAAATGCTGGGCACCTGTCTTCAAGCCCTCCACGCTCTGTGGGGTGGAGCGATTTCCCTGCACGCGTCGGGTGGCCCTGCGAATTTGGGAGGGGACAGACAGTCAGGACGCGGATCCCGGTCCCTGCTGATCCTGGTGCCGGCATCACCCTCTGGAGTCAGCCTGAGCCACAAAGGGAATTGGGCTGTAGGTGAGCAGGGTGGCCTCTGGATGCCAAGAGCAAGAAGTGACATTGAGCTTCGGTGGTCCTGTTCCCAGGAGCCAAGTGTCACTTAAGCGAGACTGGGCCACCCAACCTTCTGCCCCTCTCTGCTCCCGTCAACTCTGCTGAGACAGACCCCCTGGTGTTTCCGGGAAGGGGTGGACACAGGTGGCCCAGAGACCCTGATTACAGGTGGCCTGGAGAGGGAATCGGAAGCTAAGCGGTGGCCAGCTGTCCACCCCGGCTCCAGTGAGCTGTTGCGGCAGTGCTGGGGCCACACTACATGAAGCATCAGGAGGAGGGGCACAGGCCACGCAGGCAGCACAAGTGTCCCCGACGTGGAAAGCGAGAGGATTCCGCGGCACAAGTTCATCTGTCCAGATCCTGCAGAGCAGGAAGCAGGGGGCACAGGCTTTGGGAGCAGCCCTGAGTTTAAGCCTTGTCCTGGGTCACCTGTGCCTCGGTTTCCTCATCTGCAGAATGGGGGTGTTGATGGTCCCTCCGTCTAGGTTACGCTGGATAAGGCCCTGGGCACAGGGGCCCGTTACTCTTGGAGGATCAGGTGGCTTCTTAGGGCTTCTCCCACTTGGAGTTGACTGTGATTTCTGGCCTGAGTTTGAACAAAGTGAAACTCTGAGTCCTTCCTGAGGCAGCCCAGCCTTGGGGCCCTGGGCCTTGGACACCCAGCACCAGGCTAGGGGAGCAGCTGGGTCTCCAGAACAGCATGGAAAGGGGGAAGGGGTGGGGAGCAGGGACCCTCCACTTCTCCTGGCCAGGCCCTTTTTCTCCGGACCCTGTTTCCCTCCGCTGTGCCCCAGGCCCGGGGAAGGGCAGTGTGGAGATTTGATTGGGGTGTAAACAACCCAGCAAGTATCAGGGCTTGTGTTTCCAGCCACAGGGCTCAGCAGATGAAGGCCTGCGGCCTTGTGGGCCTCTT